TTTCCTGACTCAGGGAGTAAGTGTGGAGCCCTGGTCCAACTGGTTAGGGTATCTGTTGACTTTCACTATCTGCACCAAATAAACTCATCTGCTCATATGGATAATCAGAATCAAGTGGTTATTTTCCATCTTCCCAAAAAGTACTTTCTGAAGTTTAAAACGACAATAGCTATAGTTTTATTCCATTTTTACCAAAACTAGTGCTTTATTAAGGGAGCTCTGGTGGGATGGTCTCCAGGGACTTGTTCTGCTGAGAGAAAGATGAACAGTCTTTTCTGTAATTTATAACCTCGGAAAACATGCTGGAGGGCCAGTCATGGACTGGCAAAGACTCTACAGCTGTCAGTGACTGAGACTGAGTGAGTGAGTATTTATAGAGGTTGGGGAAATTTTTTATGAATAAATGGATCGCTCCTCAGTCTTCTATAGTAACTATATGTTAGAGAGATCATTTTTTTTTACTTATCACTTTCCTTTTAAAAAATAGTGGAAAAAATAAATAATAATAGTGATAGTGCTGAGTGTCATTGTGATGGAGGGACAACAGATGGAAACCTTGCTGCACCATCATCATCATCATCTCTGAAGTGCTCCAGCTCCTTGTTAGTCACACACAAATACACACACACACACACACACACACACAGCTGATGGGCAACTTCACGATGGATTGAAAAAAGACTGAAATTGTCAGTGACTTCGTCTTCTGTGGGTCCATAATCAACATCCTTGGTATTCGCAATCAGGAGATCAGGAGATGTATTGTGTTGGGAAAGTTTACTGTCAAGGACCTCTCCAAAATGCTAAGGTTACAAAATAAGGGTTACAGAAGAAGAATTGATGCCTTTGAACTGTGATGTTGGAGAAGAGTTCTGAATGTCCTGTGGAGTGCCAAAGAACAGATATGTCTTGGAGAAGGTGCAGCTAGAGCGTGTGTGCCTTAGAGGTAAGGATGGTGAAGCATTGTCTCACCTACTTTAGCCATGTTCCTAGAAGAGGCAATTCCTTAGAAAGGGACAGCATGCTAGGAAAGGTGGAGGGCTGGTGACAGGGAGAAAGACCTTCAACAAGATGGACTGACAATAAGGGAATCATGACATTACCTATTGGTCTCATATTCTTGATATTGAGGTGTAATCTCTGTTTAAAATACCATAGTTCCCATTTTCTTCAATAAGTACTTACAATCGTCTTTGTGCAAGCAAGTATCTGCAAAAGGTAAATTGTTAATGAGTCTTCCTTCAGTCCCAAAGCCGTATCATTCTTCATATAGTCCAGTTTCTGGAATTATGTGCTCAGCACACAGATTAAATAGGAATGTAGAAAGGATACAATCCTGGTCTTTCCCGATTTTAAGCCATTCTGTATCCACTTCTTTTGTTCTAATTACAACTTTTTGCTCTACTGGACAGGTTTTACTTGAGCACAATTAAGTGTTCTGGAATTCCCATTCTTATCACTCTTTCACATAATTTACTGTTCTCTGTCTGGAAGCTCTGTTGGACTATGTCCACCATGGGTGACCCTGCTGGTCTTTGAAATACTGATGGCACAGCATCATCGCATCACACTCAGGTCACCAAGCGGCAGATGAGTGGTGGATTCTCTCTAGAGGTGGCCTGCCACAATCATTCTCCTGTGGAGCTGTTGCTGGGTGCTGAAGGATAACCTTCCAACTGGTTTCCACATGCCTAATCAGTGCACCAATCCCCAGTCACTGCTCACTCTTTAGACACTCTGATGAGCACCCATTATCTCATTTCATCTTCTCGATGGACTTAAAAGGGTTAGTATAGTTATCACTTGTATGGGACTGAAAAACCTGAATTCTAGAAAGTGGTTGAGTACCTTGTCCAAGGTTGCACAGGTAGAAAGTGCTGGTAATGTTCCTCACTTGTTCACTAATCACTGTCTAGTCAAAACCTCCTCATAGTTGACTCTCTAGTGGGGTCGTATGGCTGTAAGTGACGTGGGAGAAGGTGGCGCATCTTTCTCCCAAGGTATTTCTGGTGGATCCGAAACACCAGAGCAGCCGGCTGTTGGGTCCCAGTGGAACTCCCTATAAATCAGGCCACCAGAGCTCCCTTAGAAATATGTTTCTAAAGCCTGATTTTTGTTAACTGTAAGACTCATGTTCTTTATATGTGTCTCACTATTGTGCAATTCATGATGTAGCTTCTTGCTGACTTTTTTCTCACTATGAGAATAAGAAAGCGAACAATTTATACTTCAACCTGATGCCGTATATCATAAGATACATTTATGCATGATGCTTATAAAAATTTGTCTTTTCAATTAAAAAAATACTTGATATGTCTTTGATTTCTCCTAATATCTGCCTTCGATCTCCACATAATCACAGTGTTCCCTCTATATTTCTGCTTTAGGTCATATCTCATCATATTTAGAATATTGTAACAATATTATATTATTGTCTCTCCTCTAATCTCCGCCACCTTAAATTTATCACCTACACTGATCACACACTATGATATGGTTTCTTAAAGCTCTGCTTCTCTCATGTTACATGCTTGCTTAAGACATCAGCATCTCTCCATTATCTTTGAGGAAAATACAACTTTATTAATCTGGAATTCAAGATCCTTCATAATGTGGTCTACACCTATAATTTCATGACTTTACATGCGCTAAGTTTTTGTACATACTTTCCATATCTTGCTAGTTTTTTCTGTTACTCATTTGGCCTTTTTCTTCCACATACTGTGGAGGTATTTTGCCATCTTTTTGTGTGAATTTATCTCTTTTCTCTAAATGAATTGTTAACTCCTGAGCAAAGAGACGGATACTTTGAGTACGATGCTTTGCATATAACACTGTGTAAGAACACTGCTCAATCAATTTCTGCCGTTTTAAAGTCAACATATGATTTCAATTCTGTGCTGGTTTTGTGTGTTTGTGAATTTCATAAATGTTAGAAAGTAGAAGTTCAGAGACTTTTCTATTCTTTTCTTTCGTCTCTTTAATTATACTTCTAATTAGAAATCCAGTCATGTGTCACTTAACATCTATGATGGGTCCTGTGAAATCGGACATTATGTAATTTGGACATATGTGAACACCATATTGCATTCAGGCAGTTGCTGGATTATGAACAAGTTCCAATCTTAAATCTGCCTTCAAGTCAAATTTGTATATAAGTCACAACAATTAGGTCCAGTTTGTATCAAACACCAATTAGTCAGATGTTTATCTACATATATGCTATAGAATTTTACCATTTATACCATAGGTGTTTTCTATGTTAAGAAACACTTCTAAATACATGAAAACATCTTTATAACATAATATTTGTGGCAGCAACAACAATAATAGTAATACTTTGATGTTTGTTGCAAAGTACCACCTAATTATTGTTACATGCTACTGTATTCACTTAAAATTTTCAATATAATGATCTTCATGGGAATTGGGAACACACACATACATGTGGTCAGATGTTCCCTGAACAGATATTGTGTGATACAGAACTGTATTCTGGTAAAACTTAATATTTTAAATATTTTTAAAAACTAAATCTGACTCATATGACAATCTAAACTACTGAAAAGTAGTGAAAATCTGATAATTGAAGTAATTAAGCTCATTACTACATCTTTTTACATTCACAAGAAGGGCAGCATTTGAGAAGTTGTAATAGGTTATCTGTTGGTGGTAGTATTTGGTTTTGATGATGGTAAACTGAATATTTGTAGGTTATGAATGTAACAAAAATAAATGGCTCAAATGGTTATTTTATGTTGCTTGATGAACTAAATATAATTGGAAGCTGTTTGGAATGTTGAATGATATAAAGAAATTTGAAAAATCTGCTTACATGCTAAGTTTAAAATGCTGTACTTTCCTTTTTTTTCCTTCCTTCAAAATAAGGCTGCCTCTTATGTATTAACACTGCTCCTTGCCTTCAACTGAATTTGAAAACATTTTTTCCTTTTACTTTTCTTCACTGTTTTGCCTTATCTTCTTCTAATGATATAGCTATTTTAACATCTCTTCCATTAGCTTTTGCTTAATTTTAAGATTATGTAGTGATTGACTGATATATCCACTTGATTGTATGCTGCACCCACACCTCCTGCCATCCAGTTGCACCAGCTCATGGAGACCCTACTCTCATGGGCACATCACCTGAAACCTCCAAGTTTCTTTTCTTTGACATGTTTGAGGCTCAGTGAGAGAAGGGTAGTTTCATGCTGAAAATAATAAGAAAGGGACTATCACAAATATTCATGGATTTAAAATATTTGTATTTTAGTAATACATATATCTTATTAATTTCAGGATGTTTCTGCTGTCTTCTTAGAATGTAAATTTTAAGGTAAAACTTTGCCTTACTTTAGCCTAGAAATATGATACACTCTGTTTAACAATTCCTATACTACATTTCCTCTCTAAATTATGTTTTTCCAGATGATACTGAACATCTTGATGTCTTCATCTGTACCTCACCTCCATCTACAGCATATTTTACGTTCTTTTACCCTTCAATGTGGCTTTCAAAACATCCAAGCGGAGCTAAAATATTGTCTTTCAGAATAAAGAGTCACAAATATTTCATGTAAATCTCTGCATGTGTTTTCTCTAGTCTCACAAGCAAAAAATGTTAACATTTGAAAGTGGTGACTTTTTACTGTGGTATCATTTATTGAGGGGAGCACACTTTAGAATTAAAGTGTATTTATTAAAGGAAATATGCCTTAAGATGAAAGTGTAGCTAATCCATTTTGACGACTTTCATTTAATCATTTCATTTTCAAAATTAGACTTCATCTTACGATCCAAAAAACCCCCTCACTAATGTGCATTTTTGGATATGTTCATTCCCTTTGTCATAAAATGGGAACTAGCCTAAATTTTCTAATATTCTTTTTCTTTTTACCATATTACAATTCATGGGGGGAAAAAATAAAAACGAAGCAATGTTGGATTTCAGTGCATCTATTTTACATGGTTGCATGTGCTTCTCTCTCCTTGTACCTAAGGAAATCGAGAAATTGAGACAAGAACTGAGTGAAAGCAGGCAGCGTGTGGAACAGGAGCAGCAGAAGGGAGCGGCAGCCAGGGAGGAGTGCCTGAAGCTGACAGAACTGCTGGGCGAATCCGAGAGCCAACTGCACCTCACCAGGTACTCCCTAATCCCATTATGCGCCGCAGCACCAATTTCATTGCACTGATTTTTGCCACAGGCTTCCAAACAGTTGTTCGAGTTAGTCTTAGTCATTCAATTCACACACAGCTTTCAGGCATATTAAGTAAAGTGGGGATGTGGTAAGCAAAACACCCAGACATGTGAATGATGAGTGTGGCAGGGGATTACTGATGGATTGCAAAACCTTTCATCCACAGTGCTCAAATATTTAGGTGATGCTCTCCATCAATACAGGCAAAATGACACGTTCTGCCTCCTCCTCCCTCTCATGTTAATTCCACGTCTAATAAAAGTGCTGGGCTGAAAAGCCTGGGAAATGTATTTATAGAAAAATGATGAGGCACTGTCAGCGGTGAAAGGTAAAAGACTTCCTGAGGTGCAAGCTGTGACGGAGCTGACACTAAGAAGAACTCTGCATCCTAAGGTGCTGTAGAACTCAGAGGCACTGTTGAGGTTCAAAGTGTTTAAAACTGCATTGTTTCCATCGGGAAATACTGTGAGCTGAGCCCCATCATCAAAAAACTTAAGTAAACCCGTAACTCAGCTCTAAATTGAACAAAAACTTCAGCTAACAAGCATTGTTCCTTTGCAATATTGGAAAGCAGACATGTGCACACACATAAAGAAACAGGGAAATTCAAAACATTGTAGATAATTCACATCACGGTATCATTCTTCACGTTGAGTTTAGCCTGATTTTTTTCAATTTGCAGGTCACGCCTAGGAGTTTGTTCAGTTTTTAGACAGAAGTTTGTCAAAATGCATGCTTAAGAGTACAGTATTTGGCTTGGCTCCTAAACTAGAAAAACCCCGGTCTTTAGTCCTAGTAGTAGTATGTTGAATTTCAACTATGAAAAAGGGGACTGATCCCTTTTACATTAAATATGACAATGTAATTCTGAGCACGCTATGATGACAGATGGAGAAAAGCACCACTTGAACAGCCTGCATTTGGAGGGAAAAAAATTTTTTTCTAGAGGTTGGTGAACCTCCCAAAGTTTTGGGTTAGTGTTAAGATGCCTCCAGTTCTGTTAAAATCAAAGTTTGTTAAAAACATTTTGTTATGATAATATTCCAAATGGTTTACAGATCCCCTTGTGAACAATGAAAGAAAGGGAATAAGAAACAAAGAGGGAAAAGAGAAAGAAATTAGCTGTATGTCTGTCTGTGATATCTGAGAAGAACACAGTTGAAGCACTTTCATGAATAAACAGTGCTTCACACCACAGAATAATAGCCATTCTTTTAAGCTCATTCAAAGCTTTAGCATTGTGGAACTGAGAATGCAGCATCCACATACTTCCTCTGATGATCTAATGGGCTAATTGATCTTAGGGGTTTCCAACCTCAGCTTCATCCTGAGGATGATAATAGTTTTTCTCTATGTCACTTCTATTGAGAACCAACCAGTTGTGTGAGAAGCAGTAGCAGACCACAGTACTAGACTGCTTTTAATGCTTCCATATGACTGGGCTTCATAAATAGTGTTAATGCTGGCTGTGGTCCTGTTGCGTTCTGTCTTGTTCTGAGTTAATTTCTGAAGTCAGAGTCCACAGAGAGCTTGGGTGTGTTGCATCCATTTGTATCACCTGACAAGATCAATTTCTTGCAAGTACAACATGTGCAGCAACTGCTGAAAATGGACACATGGGGATGAGTTCCTTTTTTCTTAAGAAAAATGGGTTTGGTCAGGCCAATGCAAAAGCCTTTTCTGTTGAGTTTTATTCACAAAAGTTCTGAAAAGAAACATTTTAGAGCTCATTTTACAAGAAATAAATCTTAATTACTTGTTTTCTAAGCGCAACTCATTTTGTAAAGCAGTTTGTGCCTCTTAGTCTGCGTTTACATTTTTTTAAAATTGACACTCTGAAAGATGACAATTTAAGATGCAAAGAAGTGTGGATATCTCTTGTGCACTGAAAGTGTGGCTTGGTTGTTGGGGTACATATTCTGGTGTCCTTTCTGGGATTATAGAATTTATGCTCCCTCACCCTCACTATTACCCATTTGAATCATATTTTCCCATTATGTGACTATGAGAAGTTATATCTTTCTTTTTCAGAGCTGACCAGAGGAGTTAAAGAACTCCTATGCAAGTGACTCCTCACTATTTTATCTCCACTTAAACATCCCCAAAATGTTTCAAACAAAGTCACAAATTCAATATGGAAACCATATGATAAAATAATTATGAAACAGGAACCCAAAATAATGGAGACAGAGAAAATGGCAAAATTGGAGAGAGATAGGTAGATCAAGTTGAAAGAAAAGTATCCTGCTGCTTTTTTTGATGCCTACTTTTATTATTCATTGGAACTTAAAGGTGAAAAACAAATTCAGCATTTATGGAGAGCCCAGTGGATAAGAGTAACATTAACTGAGTTCGACAAGTATTTTCTGACCTCTTAATACCTTTTTCAGCCCTTTGCTTGGCCCTGGGAATAGAGCAATACATAAGATCTGGTTTCTACCCTTGGCCTGCTCACACTTTTCTGAAGCAGCCAGACCTCTATGTAACAAAGTCACAGCGTGGGAATAAATGCAGTGATCACAGTAAAGACCCCACAGGAGCATGTGGGAGGGCTGGGTGACTCATCCTGTATTAGGGTGCTGATGGGAGCCAGAAGATGCTTGCTAAGAATCTTAATTAATTGAGCTCATGAGTAGGACTTGTTAATGTAGAGAAAGTTTTCTGGAAGCGCAATACAGTTATCCTGTAGGTATTTCCTACAACTGCTTTCTCCCCACACAACAGGGTGAGAGAAAACAGCTCTCTCAGACTCAGTTATTAGCCACTTGGCTTTTCATGGAAAGTGTTTGGAACCCCCTGGTTGACAGACAAAGTCTTTAAGGTCTGCTCCTACAGCCCGTACGGAGTCATGCTGCTGGTGGTCCCTGTCCAGCAGTTCGAATCCACCAGCACCTCCTTGAGGGAAAAATAGGAAATTTACAGTCTCAGAAAGATATTGCGGAAAACCAGTCATTTGAGGTCATTGGCAGACTCCAATTAGAACATGGGTACAGTAGCCCAAGGGAACAGTGATGCCTTTTGGGCTATGACTGTCCAATGAGATGCAGAAGGAGCTGTGTGAGAACCATTTAGGTAGCAGTGTGTTGTGTTGCTGAAAACGGAAGAGTCAGAACTGACCCATAGCTAATCTCTTTCTTAGAGGGTTTTCAAAGACAGTAAATCACACAGAGGGAGATTGCCCATCCACAGAAGTAAAGATAATTTCATGTTTCTAGCCTTTATTGGCTACACGATCCCATAACCCAATCAGAGAAATTCAAAAGGATCCATAGAGGGGATCAGAGTATTTTATTTGGGAACTTAGAGAAGTCCAGTGTCGATCTGGGGTGAGGAGAATAATCATGGCTAGAAGTTTTGGATCTCATTACTTTCTACATAAAGGTGTTAGTAGTAGTCAAGGGATTGAGCAAAAGCATATATAGAATTTTAAATGTAAAACTGAAGGCAAATCACCAGCCAAGAAGACTGAAATGGAGCCTACAGTTAAGTATTAAAAGAGTATATTGTTAAGGAATGCCTGAAAGGGGATTCAGAGAATGCCTTGGCAAAGCAGTAATACAGTTGTATTCCTTTCTTCTTAATAGGAGGCCTCTAGCCAGCCTCAGTCTCCTAGCTTATCTGCTGAAATCTATGGCCTTTCTGGTAGCAGCACAGCCCTGTGCAGACTAGGCCACCAGAGCTCAGGCTAGGTGTCATCAAGTTAAATAAAACGGACACGGCCTGATGAACAACAGGCCTGAACCCTGTCCCATCCTGTGCCGTCCTCACAACCTCAGTGCTACAGTCACTGTCAGCCCACCTGGTTGAGGCTCTTCCTCTCCTTCGCTGTCCCTTCACCTTCCCAAGCTTGAGATCCATCACACTGAGAGTTGAGCAAACTCGGATTTCTTTGGGATGTCACTCCAATTGCTATTTTGACCAGCTGTTTCATACTTTGGGCCTTCTTCAACACACAGAACTCACTGCGCTCAGTTGGAACCAACTCATGGGTGGCGCTGGAGCGGGATTTTGGAGGCTGTATATCATGCAGGAAGGGACTACGCATCTTGATCTCAAGGAGCCACTGGTGGATTTGAACCGCCAGAGCAGCATGGCCTTTGGGTAGCAGCAAAACACCCTGTGGACTACTTACTTATCTGTAAAAGAAACCAACACAAGATGATTTCTAGGTTTTCTATTAGGCAGAGACAAGTATTCGTTCCAGTTTCTGTGTTAGGCATTCACACTGTTGCCACAGCCTTTGTCTGAAACATTCACTTGTACTCCTCATCACTGAAGTTCTTTGGACTTCTCACTAAAGTTTCAGAAGTGCCTCTTCATTGCCTTCTTTTGCCCACTTCTGCCAAGTGCTTTTGGCCACAAAGCGCCTCCTTGGCTGTGCCATCCAGCTCCTCCTCTGTGGACTTTACTGCTTTTTACAGAATGTCCACACCACTCAAGTGGCTGTTTAAGTGAATTCTTGATAAACTCCCAGGCCTCTTACTTCCAGTTCAAATCCACCAGCAGGTCCGAGAGAGAAAGGTGGGCGAGCTCCTCAGTGTAGTTTGTAGGCTGTGACCACCCGCTGGAGGGTTAGCCAGGGGTTCACGCTGACTCTGCAACAGAGGGTCATGTTGCCTCTTCTCACATGCCCGAGTCCAGCCAGATTTAAGCATATGCCACACTCTGCACACCCAAGCTTTTATCCTCCTTTTGCTGATCCCAACTCCTAGAACTGCCTTGTAACCTTTTCTTGCCCATTTGGATTCTCACTGGCTTTTCAACTAGTGTTGTGTGTTGTTCAATCAGAACCGACTCATAGCCAATCCTCCAATGGGTATTTTATTATTATTATTATTGTTGTTATTATTATTATTAATTATAATATTGGTTTGCATACAAAATTCATATATACATTGTGTTTCATTATATAAATTGTTTCACATATTCCTTCATTCATGCTGTG